AGGGAGGGAGGGAGGAAAAAGTAGACACAAAACACAAGAACAAGAATGGGGGAGAGATTTGTGGGGAGCTGAAAGAGGGTGAAAGTCGTCAGAATGCATTATGTACGTGTATGAAAGTGTCAAAGAACAACGTTAATTAATTTGAAAAACAGCTGAGAGTGCTGGAGAGATGGCTCAGTGCCGCAGCCCAGCTTCGGGGGATCCTAAAACCCGAGTGGGAGGGGCAGGGGATGAAGGCAAGAAGCACAGGCACAGAAACAGCGGGATCAGGAGGACCTGTAGGCTGTGACCAGGCAGGTGCTTTATTGCAGGATTACAATGCCTTTATACTTTGCCTTAAAGCAGGAAATCTTACTATAGAAATGTAACACAGAACCACAAGTTCCTTTGCATAATGTAGTTTCAATAATCACAGTGTCATTAATCACATGTACTTGCATCAGCCGTAGCCAAGCAGAACTTCTAAGTCAAAGGCACGTACCTAGGAGCAGGTGCATTAAGCACATGTAATTATATCAGCAGCACCCAAGCAGAACCTCAAAGGCAAAGACATGTACCTGGAGACTGATCACCAGGGACTGACCTGTACAGGTTCAGCCCCAGGTCAGCCAGAATAGCTTTGCCATATCCTGTTAGCTGCTCTTCAGGGGCAGAACAGCCTACACATGGCAGCCCCCAAAACTCAGCAGTTGAGAGAGCTCCTCCTCCAGAGGACCCAGGTTCGGTTTCCAGCATCCGCATAGCTACTCACAACCGTCTATGACTCCAATTCCAGGGGACCCGATGCCCTCTTCTGGCCTCTTCAGTGGCATTTCACACATGTGGTACACTTACAAACATGCAGGAAAAGCCTCATACGCATAAAAATAATAAAATCTTAAAAAATAGCTGAAAAGTTTAAAAGTGCTAATAGTGAAGATGCTAAAAAAGGTGAACTAGGAGGAAAATACCCTTATTAAAATGGACTCAGGGAGAAACAGAGCACAAATCATTGTACAAACACCAAAGAACCGTGCCCGGAGTTGGGTATCGCGGCTCAGGCCTGCAGTCTCAGCACTCGGGAGGTTGACGACTCCTGAACTACATAGTGAGTTTCCCACAGCCTGAGTGACACAATAACCCCCCGTGTCAAAAAGTAATAAATAAATTCAACTAGTAGTAATAATACTTTTTTAAAACCTCACAAAGCAAATTCTAGGCCTAGACGGCTTCATTGACAAGCTCTCCTGTAACTTCAAGGAAAATATTATTCCAATTTTACACAAACATCTTAGAGAATGAAAAGAAGGAACTTTGTTCCTCTCAGTATTAGTTTCCTAGAGTTGCCACGAGTTTCTACAATCTGCTCAGCACTGGACGTTTACTGTTTCAGTTCTGGAGGCTGGAAGCTAGCTTCTCATGCAGAGAGCAGCAGGCCCACTCTTCCTATAGGGAAGAAACCTTGGGAATCTATTCTGGTTTTGTGTGGTGCTGCCAGTCCTTACCTTGTAGGTATTTCACCCCACTCTGCTGTTGCCACATGACTTCTCCTCCACAGGCTCACTCACATCGAAACGCTCAGCTCAGGTAGCCCTTTATTTCGCAGTATCACTGCTTCTTCAGTGGAAACATCTGCAATGACCTTGCTTCCAAATAAGGAGACATTCACAGGTGTTGGGTGGACACATACCTGACAAGGTCAGTGCAAGACAGCAAAACTACAGGCCAATTTTATTCACCAATAAAGATTTAAAACTTGCTGTATTCTAAAGTAGAACCTCATATTATATAAAAGATATAACATTTCGCTTATGGCCTACAAATATGACTGCCTGAATCTAAAAACAGTGTTGTTTGGGGCTGGAGAGATGGCTCAGTGGTTAAAAGCACTGACTGCTGTTGCAGTGGACCTGGGTTCGATTCCCAGCACCCACATGGCAGCTGCGAACCATCCTTAACTCCAGTTCCAGGAGAATCTGAAGCCCCCTTCTGACCTCCGTGGCATTGCATGACATGGGTGCACTCACATACACGCAGGCAATACATGTACATATAAAATAAAAATAATAAATAAAATATATTTAAAACGGTGTTGTTTATCCAATCAGAAGATTAGACAGAACAATGATTTGATTATTTCAAGAAATGCAGAGAACATTTTATTCAATAACACTCCACATACACTGTAATAGAATAGGTATACAAAACGAATGCGTAGTTAGGCTAAACATACCTATTTGTATGAATCCTATGGCAAACATCAAGTGAATGGTAAGTTGAAAGCTTTCCTTATGAGAAAGCAGAAAGGGAAGCTGATTAATCATTTATGTTTGACATTGTATTTAAACCCTTTGCCAGCTTACTAAACTAGAAAAAGAAGTCCATGGCATAAGGTTTGTAAAGAAAGCCTTTTTAAAAAGTTATCCAAAGATATGGTCATGTCTGTAGAAATAGCAAAATCATCCATTAGAAATTCATTCGAATTAATAAAGAATGTAGTAATTTTGCTAGATATTAAATCAAAATACAAAATTTAATTGGTTTCTCTAAAAAGTGAAATCACTCCACTGCCTTGGTTTCTGTGAAATTAAGGCAATAATGCTAACCTTGAGTGAGAAACAGAAGACTATAGGGTAACAGATAAGAACTGGCGTTTATAGGCACACTCCCCAAATTTAAATCCATACTCTATGAGTAATTGTAATTTAATTAAATTCATGTTTTGACTAATCAGTTAATAATGAAAAACTTTAATTTTCCTAATTGTGAAATGGAGAGGATAATATTATTTAACTAAGGTGTTAGGAAGTTTAAATAAGACAATATATGTAATGATGTAGCACAGGGCCTGATGGATTTAGCCAATAAATGTCCATTACTATCATTAAAAAAAAATCATTTCTGTCTAAAGCTACAGGACTAATAGGCCTGAGGCTAAGTTAGAGTTGCTCTTGTTTCTCTAGGAAAAAAAACCAACATTCTGTTTTAAAGAAGTATTCATTATTATTTTATATGTATGAGTGTTTCACCTGCATGTATGTAAGTGCGCTCATGCATGGAATGCCTGCAGAGGGCAGAAGAAGAGATCGGATCCACTGCAGCTAGAGTTACAGACAGCTGTGAGCCGCCATGTGTGTGCTGGGAAGTGAGCCCAGGTCCTCTGCAAGAGCAGCCAGTGCTCTTAACTGCTAAGGCCCACCAAAGGATTCTTTTTAAAGGAAATATTTATTTATTTTTTATGTGTATGAGTGTATTGCCTGCATGTATATGAGTGCACCAGTGTTGGTGCAATGCCATGGAGGTCAGAAGGCGGCTTTGGATCCCCCTAGAACTGGAATTAAGGACTTCTTCCACCAACCCTGACTCTTGTCTTTCTACTGCCTCTTCAGCAGTGGTCCTGAGCCTTTGGTGCCAGGGTTTTGATATAGGTGTCCTACCCAGGGACAAGCACTCTGCAGTCTCTTATTCTCTGTATTTTGGCCAGTTGTGGCTTTCTAAGTTAATCACCATCTGTTGCATGAGGAAACTTCACTGATGAGAGCTCTCTTCTCATTGTGCCATGTTCTAGACACATTGTTCATATCCTCCATTTAATTCAGTAAACTTCTTTCCAATCATCCCTAAAACCTAACCTGTTTTAGATCCTTTTCTTTTTGTTTCTCTTTTTTTTGTTGCACCCCTGGGTGGGGTGTGTGTGTGTGTGTGTGTGTGTGTGTGTGTGTGTGTTATTGAGAAAGGTTCTCCCTGTAGCCCCAGCTGGCCTGAAACTTGCTATGTAGGCTAGGCTGGCCTCCAACTCGCAGAGATCCACCTGCCTCTGCCCACTAAGTGCTGGGATCAAATGCCTGTGCCACCACGCCAGGCTAAAAGATTTGTTTTTTAAAAAAAGGGGAAAAGGGGCTGAAAAGATGGCTCAGCGGTTAAGAGCACCGACTACTCTCGCAGCTGACCCGGGTTTGAGTCCCAGCACCCACATGGCGACTACAAACTGTCCTTAACTCCAGTTCCAGGGGAATCCGAAGCCCTCTTCTGACCTCTGCGGCATTGCACCACACGGGTGCACTCACATACGTGCAAGCACTACACTCATACACATAAAAATAATAAATAAAATATTTTTTAAAAGGGAAAAGAAGAACTAGATGGATAGGCCGAACATAAAATTATTATTGTTTTTTAATTTTAAATTTATTTTTAAATTTTTATGGTCCTGGAGATGAAACACAGAGGCTTGTGCTGCCGTGCCAGCAATACTCTCAGCTCCTGAAACCATCTATTTTTAAAATTTAGACTAAGCTTGTTGATGCCAAAAAATGGACAGTGCTCTGGGGAAAGGCTTACCACCTATGCTGCCATGTGAAGACAATAAAGTACAAAATAAGATTTTGCAGTATGCTCTTCATGTTAAAAACCTACACTGAACTTTCATCCGTTCTCGCCTCAGACATTTAAGGCAGGTGTATGGAACACTGGAAAGAGCAGGCTTAGGGCCAACAGTTCCATTTACATAGTGGAGCAGGGTGGGGGACTCAATGAAGAGTTCACCAAAATCTTAAATTTTATCTCTCTGATGATATTTAGGTGATTCTTTCTTTTCAAGTTTTACAAGTTTCATGTTTTTAGAATGTCTGTGTCACCTACATAATCCAAAGAAGCAAGATAAGTTAATTTTTTTTTTTCGGTCTTTTTGAGACAGGGTCCCCCTGTAGCCCCAGGTGTCCTGGAACTCACTATGTAGACCAGGCTGGCCTTGAAGTTTTTACTCATAGAAAACTATCAGTACTAAATTGGTTGCTAACATATATCTCACAAAGACCACGCCCGGCTTTAGATATGTTAATTTTTTACTCATAAAAAATGATCAATACTAAGTTGGTTGCTAACATATATATCACAAAGAATATGCATTTTACTATGGTATTTAACTCTTAATGAAGATATGGGGCTAAATTGTTGTAAATGGGTTGCTGAACAGTGAGAGGTATTGACTCAATCTCAGAATAATGGTCTCAAGTAAAGAACTCCAATTCCCTTTCTCTGAGCTTTTCAATTTGCCTAAAGCTAGAGTTGCTTCCTACTGTTTGGGAACACAGAATTTAGAAATTTATGTGGTTCCTAGTAAAGATTTGACTTTCCTCTCATTTCCCAAGTTGCTTGCTCCTTTTGCCTACAGTCTAAGGATAAGTGTCTGTTGGTCCCTAGGGGTCTGAGTCTTCTTAAGACTGATTGTGGTAGTGGCAAAGCCCTCTGTCCTCCTCAGCCCTCGCTTTTTCTTGTGTCTTTAGGTGCCGATATCCATGGCTTCAGCTCTTCATCCACTGGTTTAAAATTAGGAGATATGGTAGATGAAATACAGAGATGTGAGAAGCCAGTGGTGGCGGCTATCCAAAGTATGGCATTAGGAGGGGGACTGGAGCTGGCCTTGGGCTGTCACTATCGGATTGCCAGTGCAGAGGTAAGCTCAGAGACTCTTTGGGGGTGGGTGCTGTGCAGGCAGCTTTCCTTTTTTCCATTTACTTTTATTTTATGTGTATGAGTATTTTGCCTGCATGCATGTAAATGCACCCATGTCATGCAATACCCGTGGAGGACAAAAGAGAGCTCCCCTAGAGCTGGAGTTACAGAGGGCTATTAGCCACCACGTGGATGCTGGGAACTGAACCCAGGTCTTCTGCAAGAGCAGCTAGTGCTCTTAACTGCTGAGCCATCTCTCCAGCCCCCAGGGGGCTTTTCTTTAGCACAAGCTCTAAATGTGGCCTGAGCATGGGAGTGGATAGCTACTAATGGTTGGCTTGTTGGTTAAGGAGTGTGAGCATCTAGTGCTAGTGCTAAGCTGTTGTGTAGAAGCTGGTGATAATCCAGATGTTGAAGTGCTTCCATTCTGATCCATAAATAATGGTCCCCGCCTCACCCTCTAACTGCCCTGCTCCAGTTCAGTGTACAGTTACATAGTATGCACTCAGATTAGTGAATACATCCTTGTGCTACTTTGGGTTTGCTTTCTGTCTTTGTGCCTGGTCCTATCATCACTCCTATTTTTGGTAACTAAGTTGTTTCTAATGTATTCTGTAGTTTTCTTATGGTTTCTCTTGCTGCATGTCTTTGAGTCCATTTCTGAATGGTGGTGGACTTAGTAACTAAAGTTAACATCTTCAGGTCAGTACCAAATTAAGTAAAATAGCACACAAAAAGTTTACTCCTTGGGATTAGAGAGATGGCTCAGTAGTTAAGAGCACTGATTGCTCTGGCAGAGGACCTGGGTTCGATTCCCAGCACCCACGTGGTGGCTAACACCTGTGCATAACTCCAGTTCCAAGGGAATCCAGTGCTCTCTTCTGAAATCCATGGGCTTTGCACAACACCGGTGCACTTACGTACATGTAGGCAATACACGCATACACAAAAAAACGAAAATAATGGTAAAATATTTTTTAAAGTTTGTTCCTTGCTAGTCCTGTCATCAGCTTATTATTTGATAATCATCATAATTTGTGTCTTTATGCATTGTGCCCCATCATGGGTTTATGATTGCTTTTCATAGTTTCTTTTAAATGAGGAAAATTAGGAATTGTGGATAAAAATACAATAATGTTTTCTTTTCTGTTTCTCTACATACCCTACCAGTGTTCTTTATTTCTCGTGAATTCAAGTTGCTGTCTACTGTTCTTTCATTGCAGTGATGGATTTCTTCTAGGGCAAAAATGCTCGCAATAAATTCAGGTTTGGCTTACCTGGAGTTTGTTGACTTTGCCTTCATTTTCAAAGGATACTTTTACTGCATATAGAATTATGGTTAAAACCTTTTCTTTTCAGCACTTTAAATGCTTTTCTGTTTTCTATTTTCTACTTTCTGATGAGAAATTATATTAACTTTATTACAAATATCATTTAAGAACATTATTTTAGAGGTTGGGGATAGAGCTGGTGACATGGTTCAGTAGTTAAAGGCGCTTGTCACCAAGCCCGATGGCCTGAATTCAATCCTGGGACCCACATAGTAGAAGGAGAAAGCCAACTCCCACAAGTTGTCTTTAGATTTCTACATGCAGGTGCATACACACCCACTCCAAGAATAAATAAAAATGTAAATTTTATTAAAAGCCAGGGCTATACCTCATTTGATAGCGTGCTTGCCTAGCATGTACAATGCCCTGGGTTTAATCCTTAGCACTGCATAAACCAGGCATGGTGGCTTCTGCCTGTAATCCTGGCACTAGAGAGAGCAGAGGCCAAAGGATCAACACAAGTTCATGGCCAGCCTGGTCTACATAATGAGTATCAGGAGAGGCTCACTCACTATAATGTGAAAGTGTCTCAAAAAACAATTTTTTTGGCCTTTTTGAGACAGGGTCTCCCTCTAGCCCCAGCTGGTCTGGAACAAAGTATTTAGACCAGGCTGGTCTTGACCTCACAGAGATCTGCCTGCCTCTGCCTCCCAAGTGCTGGGAAAAGAAAGAAGAATAGCGTTTTAAAAGGCTGCACAATTTCCCATCACAAGCTGAGCATTCCTAACATAAACAAGCAAAATCCCAATGCTTCAAAATCCAAAACTTCTGAAGTATAGACATGATGCCACAAGTGAAAAGTTCCATACCTGATCTCAATGAGATCAGAGCCTAAAGGCAAGTATGTTCAGAATATGTTTACAAGCACTTTCAGGCTGTGTGCCTAAGTTGTATGTGAAACCTAATTGAGACTTCCCTAGCATTTCAGACAAAGGGTACTCATCCTGTATAGTGCGCACATGGGCGCCCTGGCGTGGTGTGCGCGGGCACACCTGAAGAGTTGCAGCGCAGGGATTGGTCCCCTGGTCTCAGCCGCGCACCCTGGAAGAAGGCGGGTCTGGCCCTGCGGGCTTCTCCGTGTCTCTGTGGGTCTCTGCGGGTCTCTGCTGCTGGAGCGTTGTCCAGCCGTATACCGCCTTAATTTCCCCCCATGCGCTTTCCTCTTGATGCGAGATCCACTGGCCACTGGACCATGCGGGAGAGCGCAAGGCGGCTGAAGCTGGTGACAGAGGAGTGCTGCCTCCGGAGAGGCTGGATTGCCAGTAAGACGCGGGACTCTGCTTAGTCCGTGTCACAGCTTTTATTAAGTGTAGCTTCAAGTGATCCAGCTCTCTGATATTGAGAGAAGACTGGGATATTTATACCATGGGGGTAGTGGTAAAAGCTTTGGCTGATAGATACTTTGTGAGACATTCTATTTGCATATGGAAGTGGGTTTCTGCCATGCTGCCAGACTGCTGACTACCTGAAAAATCACACAGGAAAGCATGGTATTCCTAGAGCCAGAGGCCATGTTTATGTTATGGCATTTGTGGCGGGCACTTCAAAAGGAGAGTTAGGAAGATGCCAGGAAAGCACCCCGCTATGAAAGGAGTCTCAGCACATAACTCCGAGCTCATGAGCTATCCGGATATGAAGAGACTTCTACTTCACATAACAGAGGCCCCCAACAATCCTGTACCCTAATTTAGTATCTCCTTATAGTGTTTGAATTTCAAGAACAAAACTTACAATACATATATATCCTGTCTCCTTCTGTGCGTCCCTTTCACCACCATCTTCTGCAGCCTGACTAGAGATCTGAGTTACTATCAGTGCAATGATCAGAGGGTGCTGATTGGCTGTGAAGAGAGTCTCTGCCAAGTGAGGCTTCAAATATGAGAAGTATTTTGTACCTGCTGGTAATAGCTTAGGTTCAAGGCAGGTTTCATCATAGGTGGCCTCTCCATCCTCTCCCTCCTCCTCCTCCTACTCCTCCTCCTCCTCCTCTTTCTCCTCCTCCTCCTCTTTTCCTTACTCCCCCTCCCCCTCTCTATCAACTCCTCCACTTTTCTCTCCTCCTCTTCTTCCTCCTCCTCCTCCTCCTCTTCCTCCTCCTCCTCCTCCTCCTTATCCATTCTTTGACTATGCCACATTTTTTCATCCATTCATCAATTGACAGACATTTGTGTTGTTGCTACTTTTAAAATTTTGAACAATGATGCCTTGAAATTTTTTTATACAGGATTTTCATGGGCATATGTTTTCATTGTTCCTGGTTCATACCCAGGATTGGCCTAGGGGACTCTTGTATTAGTTGTGTTTAATCTTTGAAAAGTTGCCAAATTGTTTTCCAGTACCGGTACCATTTACACTTCCATCAGCACTGTATGTGTTCCATCTTCTCCACATCCTCTCCCATAGTTGTTACTGTCTTTTTTATTGTTATTATGTTCCTTTTAGTAGGGATCAAACTGTATCTTACTGTAGTTTAAATTTGCATCATGTAGTTTACATTTAAATGGCTAATGATATTGAGCATCTATTCATGTGATTATTTGCCACTTATGTGTCCTTTCTTTGAAGACTGGTTTATTCAGATAATTGGCACATTATTATTTGGCTGTTTCTTTCTTAAGTTGCAAAAGTTATCTGTGTAGTGGAGATATAAGAAGTTCTGTATCATTGCCAAAATTCTCTCCCATGCTCTAGGTGTGGTTTCACAGTCTTGTATTTCCTGGCTCTTTCAAGGACCCTGTAAACTGTAGAAGCTACATTTGTTATCTGAGACAGGTCATAATAGAGTGAAAGAAAAATATGTGTCAAAAGCTAAGAATGTGTTTGAACATGAGAACAGCTCTGCTCTGCTTGTGCTGTTAATTAAAGGAGACAGCAGGCACTAATTTGCCTTGTGGAAACTTGCTGATTTCAGTGAAACAGTATTATTTTATAATGTAAGAAGTTCTGCCTAAACCTGACCCATTATCTCATTGGAGTGGCCTTTCTGCCTTTAATCTTTCATAGGCTCGTATTGGCTTTCCAGAAGTCACACTGGGACTTCTTCCCGGTGCAAGAGGGACCCAGCTTCTCCCCAGGCTCATTGGAATTCCTGTTGCTCTGGACTTAATTACCTCAGGTCAGTGCAAACCTTGCCAGTAATTTAGATCAATTTGAAGAATTGGGCCAGTGTCTAGAAAATTCTGGCTTGCTTACTTACTACCCACTATAGGTCCTAAGTGGGCCATTTTAACTTCTTTGACTCCAATTTATTTCATCTGTAAAATAGAAACAGTAATTTTCCTGAGTGCTCCAGTATGTAAACCTTCTAAAGGAAAGAATGTGAAAAGGGCTGATCTATTTGAGATCATATTATAGTTCAAGTTTTGATTTATAGACCACAATGTTTATATAGGAAGCATAACAGTCAGGTCTGGTTTAGCAAACAGTATTTGGGGCTATGGGCGTAGCTCAGTTGGTATAGTGCTTTCCCAGCAGGCATGAAGCCCGAGTTTGATCCTCCACGCTGCCTAACACCTGGAGTGGTGACTCATGTCTGTAGTCCTAGCACTAAGGAGATAGAGAGAGGAAGATCAGAAGTTCAGGGTCATCTTCAGTCACACAGTATATTCAGGACCAAACTCTGCTACATAAGAAAGTGAGGAAGGGTTTCTTCCTTGGGAAAACACCAAATGGCGTGTGAGGCAGGTACAGCAGAAGGACCCAGCTGACCCAGGCTTGGGAGGCTGAGGTGACTTCTGCTGAGGATTCATAACTGGCCTCCAGGGCTGGGCCTAGGGTACAGGGCTGGTAGAGGCAAAGCTGCAGACAGGAAGTGGCTCCCCATGACCAAACTGGGCTGCCTGGTCAAGGACATGAAGATGAAGTCCCTGGCAGAGGTCTACCTCTTTGTCTTTCCCATTAAGGAATCTGAGACCACTGACTTGTTCCTGGGAGCATCCTTTAAGGATGAGGTCTTAAAGACCATGCCAGGGAAGAAGCAGACTCTGGCTGGCCAGCAGACCAAGTTCAAGGCTTTTGTCTCCATTGGGGACTACAGCAGTCATGTTGGTCTGGGTGTTGAGTGCTTCACAGAGGTAGTCACTGCCATCTGAGGGGCCACCATCTTGGCCAACCTTTCCATTGTCCCTGTGCAGAGATGCTGGGGCGGTGGGGGGACAAGATTAGCAAGCTGTGCCATGCAAGGTGACAGGCCACAATGGCTCTGTGGTAGTGCATCTCACCCCTGCCCCCAGAGACACTGGCATCATCTCTGTTCCTGTGCCCAAGAAGCTGCTGACAATGGCTAGTATTAATGATTGCTACACACCAGCCAGGGCACCACTGCCACCCAAGGCTAGCCTTGATGCCATCTCCAAGACCTACAGCCACCTGACACCTGACAGTTGGAAACAGACCCTTTTTACCAAGTCTCCCTATCAAGAATTTATCAACTGTCTTGTGAAAACCTGTACCAGAGTGCAGAGAGCCCAGGCTCTGGCTCTGGCCACTGTATAAAGGTGTTTTTTTTTTTGTTGGGGTTTTTTTTTTTTTGGTCTTTTTGAGACATGGTCTCCCTGTAGCCCCAGCTGGCTTGGAACACACTATGTAGACCAGGCTAGTCTTGAACTCACAGAGATCCGCCTGCCTCTGACTCCTGAGTGCTGGGATTAAAGGCTTGGGCCACAACACCCAGCCCGTATAAAGTTTTTATATGAGAAAAATAAAGAGGATTAAGTCTATTTAATCTGTTATACTAAGTGAAGTAACACAATCTCAGAAAAAAAATCGACATATGTTCTCCCT